GGGCCCCCTCGCGCCCCCATCCCTAGTCCAGGCTCGGTGTCTCGACCGCAGCGCCGGCTTCGCCTCGGGGCAGCCAAGGTCATTGGGGGAGGTGGGAGGTCTGCCGCTGCCTTCTCACCCCTCTCCCTTTCCCATCCTTCCACTTGACACTCCGTGTCTTCTCTTAGAATCCCCTCAGCTCTTTACCCCGACCTCTGGGGACTCGCCCTCTCCATGCTGCTGTCCCCACGCAGGTCCCGCTGCACCGCTGCCCTTGTTTTCATGCCACTTGCCGTCCCCACCCCACCCCCACTCCCAGTAGGAGCTTCCCCAAGGGAAGAGGTTACGTCCTTCAGTGCAGCTTGAGGGGAGGGGACTGAGCCCCTGAGGCAGCGTCCCAGGAAAGGAAACAGAATCAGCCCTGGACTCTCTTGTGGGTGCACACAGTCGTGAGGGGCAGCATTGGGTGAATGGGCCCCTGAACCCAGTCAGGAAGGCCTGGGCTCCTCTCAGTAGAGAAGAGTGACCCCGGTGCTCTCTTTTCTTCCCAGTCACTGCCCTCCCTGTGAACAGCCCTATGACTAAAGGGGACACCGAGGTAAGCAGGAGCATTGGGGATGCCCTGGGATGGGGGAGGAGGCTCTAGGGGTGGACACCTCACAGCCAGTTCTTTAGCAGCTGCAGGAGTGAGTCTGGCACAACGCCAAGAGCCAGCACTGCGGCTGCTGAGCCCAGGGACAGCTTGCAAAAGAAGATATCAAAGATCGTTTGCTTTTCCTGCTGTCCCACTGTGGGGACTTCCCCAGCTTCCTCTGAGCTTGTGTGCAACCCAAAGGGACCAGTGTGCTCCCCGCTGGGTCCAGGTGCAGGTCCTGAACACTCCAAATCCAGGAGGCCCAGTGGCTGGTGGAAGTGGCTTCCTGTGGTCATGGTTGTGCACAGATCTGCCTGGCTCTGGCCTCTCCCTTTAGATCTGGTGGCGCCCCCCAACACACACACACCAGGAGGCATTCATACCCTAGCTCTCCCACAGGGCCACAGTGAAAACATTTTTGACTGTGGCTTCTTCACTAGGAATTCTTGCTAGTTGGGGGCCAGTGGAGGTCACCATGGAAGGGGCCTTAAGAGACACCAGTGTGTGTGTATGTGTGTGTGTGGGGGGGTCCTCCGGCAGTAAGGAACACTCTACCCCAGGAATTTGTTCCATCTGAGCCAGGGCTGTTTTCCCAGGCCCTGTACTTTCCTATATCTCATCTCCATTTGAATCACAAATATCTACTCCTCATTTTCTTGGTGCTGTTGTCTTCTGTGAGAGGCTACATTTTAAACCAAAAGCATCAAAGGGATTTCAACCTCAGTTTGTTTAATTACATTTCCTAATATACACAGGACAGAATATAAACCTCTTCCACGCATTCTAGCTATGTGGCTTTGGGAATGTTCTGCTCCTGTGAGCCTCCTCTTCCTCCCTTTCCCTTGAGGAAGGTGGGGAGAGTAGAAGTCATGGATGTGAAGTGCTTGACATATAGTAGGTCCTCAGGAAATAGGCACTGTTTTTCTTAGAGCTTCCCTTCTTGACCTCTCCATCCTTCCCAGAACCCCTATCCAATTCCTGCCTCCCAGAATCTACCCACACAGACTGGTGGCTATCTGATGTGCCCAAGGCAAGGTCTGAGGTTACAGGGAGATCAGGACACAGGCTGCTGGGCACTGCTTGTCAGATCCCGTATTCGATCCCTTCTGGTCACCATGCCATGCCCAGTAGTCTCGGGTTAGGGCCATGTTCCATCTGAGGCTGTGACTGCACACACTGTGGAGCATTTGCCAGCTTGCCATCCTGGATCCATGGACTGGTTGCCTTGGCATCCCAGAGACACAGCCTCCCATCCCCTCACTCCCCGCCAGCATTGCCTGATGCATGTCTGACACCTCCTTTTCTGCCAAGCCCGAGGCTGTTGAAGCAAGTCTGAAGTTGTGAAGCCCTCCTTGGGCATGTGTGACACTTTACACTTTTTAGAGTGTTTCCCCATTTATGCCTCATTACGCTAGATGGGCAGTGGGAAGGCAATCTTGCTCCCATTTTTCAAATGAGGACACTGAGGCTCTGGGAGGTTAAGTCACTCACCCAAGGTCACACTGCCGGGAAATCACACTTCTGTTGGCACCATCACCAGAGGTGAGGTCCATTTATCAGGCGCCTAGTTACCCAGACGCCCAGCAGCTTGCCAGGCACTGGATAAGACTTTCAGAGTTATGGCTGCTGCTGGCCTGGGATGGACCCAAGTGTAACCAATGTGTGTCCCTTATCCAGCCAGTCCATGAGACTGTCACCGCCTGCATATCATTACACTATAGGTGTTGGAAGACAGTGATCCAAGTGTCTGGAAACAAGGTCTCCTGACCCTGAAGTATCTGCGAGGCTGCAGCACTTTACAAGACATCCTCTTAATTCCCAGCAGAGTTCCCAGCCTTAGAGAAATGACCTAGGGATGAGAAGATAGCAGTACCTGCCCCATAGCCCACCCTCACTATGATCTACCTTAGAGGGGCACCTGCTTGTCTGGCCATGTGATTGGGATGCTTGGCGCATGGCAGACGGCACATGAAGGTTTTCTATCATTACTAAGAAGGCATGCTGAGCCAGGCATCCACATACTCGTGGAACCAAAGCAGATGCCCTTCTGTTCTCAATAGAGATTTCCTCTAGAGCCCCTGGGGGCTGAGTCCCATGCCTATACCAGTCCCAACCCTTTCTCCGCTGTCTTCTCAGGTGATGAAGTGCATTGTTGAGGTCATCTCTGACTCACTGTCCAAGCCCAGCCCCATGCCCGTCAGCCAAGACTGTTTGGAGATTCTCCGAGGAGGTAGGAGTCCAAGGCTGGGGCTGGGAGGTGGGGACTAGGTGTGTGGTTTTTGATGCAATAAGTCATTTAAGTCAGTAGTTACTGGCTGAGAGCTGGCCTAGGCCAGCACTGAGCTGAGGTCTGCAGGGGACTGGTGCTGAGGGAGTCACAGTCCCTATTTACCCAGAACTTATGGGCTAGCAGCAGGGACATAAAAATACATACAGTGAGCTAGTATTCTAGGCAGAATGAAGCCAGGGCTGGAAGAATGAGCCGCCAGACTGTGAGCTCCCTGTGGCCTGGATCTTGTGTACTATATCTCCCCAGTGTCAGAATGGAGTCTGGCATCTGGCAGATACTCCATGAATTTGTGATGAATAAGGATGTTGGTGGGGGACCAAATCTTTCCAAGCACAGTCAGGTCTTGGCCAGGGGCTGGGCAGAGCCAGCCCCATCTAGATCAGGCTTAGAAAGCAGCATTGGCAATCCACAGGAAGAAAGTGAAGAAAGGGTCCTTCAGGCAGAGCTGGTGGTGTGGGCAACAGCCTGGTGGAAAATGTCCTTAGAGAAACCCCTTGTCTCAATATCTAATCTTACTGCTGCCACCGTGGCTTTGAGTTTCCAGAGCAAATCCCTGTGCTCAGCTGGAAATACTGATGGTAATCTCTCTCTCTCTCTCCCTCTCAGCTATTCTCTGGAAACCACCCATAACTTTGCTCTTTCTCTGCAGATGAACGGATCCTTTCCATTCTGCGACACCAGAATTTGCTAAGGGAGCTGCAAGACCTGGCTCTCCAAGGTATTTCCCAGCCACTGTAAACAATTCTGGGTAAATTCCGGGAACCAAGAGTCAGAAATCAGGGTGGCAGATTGAACAAAGCCCTCTAGGGTACTTGGTTATTACTTTTCAGTTACAGAGCAGAAAGGCAGGTCCTCCATGCCACCTGGCCAATCTATTATTGATGTCATCAAAGAGATCGAGGCGCAGGGAGGTTGAGTGTCCAGTCCAAGCTTACACAGTGAGTAGAGTTGGGTCAAAACCAGACGCAGCTTTCCTAATACCCAGTGGACTCTGGAGTTCAGCTATTTGAGGAAGGGCACTTTCAGGGCAACAGTGTGGCAAGGATTCCTTTCTTCTGTAAGCTGAGAAAGAAATTGATCACAAGAGAGGAAGGGCCTCTTTCCCTTATGAGTGTCTGCTGAAGGGGTGATGGGGGAGGCAGGGTCTTACCTGCTCCCAAACACAGACCAGACTTTCAGTGTGCTTCAAGGTGAGGCGTGTCTTTCCTTGCAGGGTTAAGAAAATCCACAGATACTATTAGGAGTGGAGCGACTTCAAGGTAGTGAGCTCCCTGTCACTGAGAGTATTCAAGTAGACAGCTACTCTCCCCAGCTCCTTCCAGGATTGCTGCAAGGCACAGCACTGCACTGGTTGATTGGAAAACTTGGGTCTTGGCCCAGACTCCTTGAGGGAAGTGGTCATTTATGCAGGTTGTGTTTGTGTGTTAGGTGGGGGGCAAGATCACTGGTGCCTTGTGCAGGAGTCTGGCGCCTGCTTCCAACCCAAGGAATCCCCACTTTCAGAGCTGGCCTGGGTCTAGGGGTGGGGGCTAAAGGCAGCCCTGGCCCAGGAAGCCCCCAACTCTGGACCTTGTGGGCCAGACTGGGTGTGTGTGAGAACAGGAGAAGTCTGGGGAGGCAGATAGATCCCTGTCCCTGGCTCTCCCCAGTTATCACACCTGCTTTCTGTCACTTGAGGCTCTGCCCAGCAGCATGCTGCCCGCGTGGTTGTCACAAATATAAAATGGATGCCTGGTACGAGTAGGCACAGGCAGAGCTGAGGCTGCTAGCACCTCTCATGAACTTTGCCATCATTGGCCCTGGGTTTAGGTTTTTTAAACCAAGCATTAAATATTTTATTACAATATGATAATTTTGTTTTGAAACAGGCTCTCACTATATAATTCAGGCTGACTGTGAACTCACTAAGTAGCCCAGGCTGGCCTCAAACTCATAGTGATCCTCCTGCCTCAGCCTCCCCAGTGCTGGGACTACAGGCGTGCACCACACACCCCACTCTATAATATGATTAATTTTAAAATTAAACATTGAATGGGCAGCTTACATTTAAATATTTAAATATCATGTCAAGGCAGACTATTAGGGAGAATATGTCTGGAAACATCTGCACACACGTGTGTATACTGAGTGTGGTCCAGCATACACAGGATCCTGTGCACAAGTATGGGGTTGTCTTCCATTGCACAGGCACTGTGAGTATCTTCAGCGCTCCTCATCTCCACTGTCTTGGGCTCTGTAAGGCCTGGCACACCTACCTCTACCTTAGTTCCTACCGGTGACAGCACTGGCTATGGATAAAGCATCCAGTCATGGACAGCCTGTGTTGTCCAAGGTTCCCAAGCAATGTAATGTCCAGGAGAGGGCTGGCCCACAGCCTGCCCAAAATCCCCATCATGGGGAAACCATCAGCAGCTGCAGAGCTGTCCCGGCCCAGAGGCCAGCTTCCAGGAGCAGGCACAGGTACGGGGGCAGTCAGGAGAGGCAACAGCATCGTGGGATGATGCAGGGAGAGGGGCTTGGGGGTTACGGTAATGTGGGGCAGCCCCAGGCTCAGGTGAGGGGAGTAGAGCTGGAGCTCACAGCAGCAGGTGGCAGCCCTGGGCTTGGATGCGGGTGCAGTGCTGGGCCTGGACTCCTGAGGGGCCGGGGTCCCTCGGTGTCTCACTGGGCAGGCCCGACAGGGTGCACCTGATTTGTACATGGGGCTCTTGTCTCATGGGCACAGATGTCAGGGCTGGGCCAAATGGGACTGTCCCCCGTCCTCTGCACCAGGGACCAAGGAGAGGGCACGGCAGCAGAAGAAGCACAGCAGCTTCGAGGAGGAGCTCTCAGAGGTTGTGGAGAACCACAGCGACAAGGCCAAGCGGAAAGGTCAGTGCTACTCCGTTGGCCGGAAGGGGGCGGGCAGCGAGCACCATAGTCACGATGTTCAGGGCTTCCTCAGAGCTGGGAGCACCTCCTTTAAGCCTGAATGTTAGCTGCTATTTCCTTCCCTTTATACATGGGGAAACGGAGACCCAGGGAGATTAAATCCTTTGCCCAAGGTGAGCCCTGTGATAAGGATTTGAATCTGGGTCCACCCTGTGATCCTCCCCAGGACACTTATAGTGCCTTGGTGGCCCCTTAGAGACCAAACTGGTGTGGAAGAGCAGGCTCAGAGTATGGACAAGTAAACCGGGTCATCTTGAAAACCAAAGAGCTTTGAGGAGTCAAAGAGGTCACGGCTGGGGTGATGTGACACCCCGTCACTCATCTGCCCTTCAGGAAGAGCCATGAACTGCAGGCTCTTTACGTGTGGGAATGGGTGGCTAAGGCAAGTTTCCGGGGGTCACAGTGGCATTTGCAATGTGGTGATGAGGCTGGCTGCCTGCACCCTGGCCCGAGCTGTCACCCTATGGCTGCTTGGGGCTCCCACAAGCCAGTGCCATGGGGTCACTAGGAAGCCTTCGGGGCTGCAGAGAAGAGATATCGTGCCTGTGTGTGTGCATGCTCTCACCTGAAAGCTTTCATTCCAAATGACCCTGAACTCAGTTTGGAGACTTGGGATCAAGGCTCAGCTCTGCTGCATACAGCCTGCATGTGTAGGGACAAGTCACCTACCCTCTCTGCGTCTCTGGGATCCCGGTGACACTCAAGGGGGGGCCTGTGCTTCGCCACGCTTTGTTCAGTGGCAATCATTCTTATGATGGAGGGAGTTTATTGTCTTGGAGAAAATACCTTTTAATGAAACGCCGCAAATACTGAGGAACTGAGCACTTTGACAGAATACCCAAGACAGAGAAACCCTGTGTGGAAGAGATAATGCAGTCCCCATTGCCTATGACACAGAAAGGCTAAGTAACCTGCCCAAAATCACACAGCACTTCAGCTGATGTCCTACATTTAAATTCGGATTGCTGTCTTCTGGGGTCCTTTTCAAGGTCTGTCGAGTTTGGGATTTGAATTTTAATTTTTAAATCACGTCCTGTTTTAAGAGTCAGACTTAAAGAAACACAGTCTGGTTGTGCTCAGAGCAAGCCCAGACAGAGCATCACTCTAATGCTTGTCTTGGGCTGGGCTTCCTGGCCACCAAACCGTGTGGTGACTAAGATCTGAAATTGGCCTCTGGGGAGGCCCCACATGCAGCCTGGTCCTCAGGGCCTTGACTGTGCCCTGTTGTTTCTGCAGAGGTGACAGAGGAATCATCCCCAAAGGATACTATGGAGCAAGGAGGGGATGGTAAGGAGGAGGAGAATGCTGAAGCCACAGAAGAAGCGAGGCACCAGGCCCTCCCGGAACCTGGGCAGGGGTCTGTGATCTTGGGAAGCAAGCAGGCCCCCAGCGACGAGGATCAGGAGGAGGAGGAGGAGGAGGAGGAGGAGGAGATGGCCCCCAACACCCAGCTGCCAGCCAGCCTTCCCAGCCAGAAATACCCAGGCCCGCAGGCCGTGGGGAACATGGAGGATCCCGCCCAGGGTCTAGAGGACGGCAAGAAGGGCGTGGGCTCAGAGCAAGGGCAGCCCATAAAGAGAGAAGAGGAGGAGGACGAGGAGAAGGAAGAGGCTGGAGAAAAGGCTGTACCTGGGGCAGAAGACCCCACCGCAGCTCTGAACTCCCACCAGGATCTCAGTGACAAGGAGATCCAGAAAGGTGACAGTATGCGGTGACAGGGACCTCAACAAGCATGTCTGGGAGACAGGGTGGGTGAAGGGGACCTTCCTCATCCATTGCACCTTCCCATTCCACCTTCATTGGAGACATAGGTGTTATCTCCATTTTCTACATGGACAAATGAGACTCAGAGAGGTTAGGGAATTTTCCCAAGGTCACACAGCTCATGGGTAGTGAAAGCTGAGAGTCCAACCCTGGCTCATCTGACCCTGAAACCATCACCTCCGACTGTTACCCACAGCCCCTCCAACCTGGGAGGCAAGAGGGCTCTGGGAACAGACAGACGGTAGGATGGGTGGGAGCAGGCTGAGCTGGGACAGTGCCAGCTTCCACTAGGGTTTAGGAGACTGGCTCCCTCGAGGGTCTTATCAGGGCCTCCCAGGGCAAGGGGCTAGAGGAAGAGGCGGGCTCTGACTCCCTAGCCCCTTTGACCTGAGAGGGGCTCGCAAACATGGCATCTCCCTCCGAGGGGTCCCTGTGGAGAGACTGGGTGGGACCCCGAGACCCCACCTGTGGCCCCAGGGAGAGACACTGGGAAAATGGCGGCCCCTCCTCATTCCCTGCTCTTGTCACCATCTGCTCCAGGTCGGTCGGAGGCCCTGGCTGTCGATGGAGCTGGGAAGACTCAGGCTGAGGAGGCTCGGCCCCCGGAGGGGAAGGGAGAGCAGGAGCAGGAGGAGGAGATGGCAGGGACCCCCCAAGGCCCCTTCCGCGGTGGGAAGAGCAGGGAGCTGGAGCAGGAGGAGGAGCGGCTCTCCCGGGAGTGGGAAGATGCCAAGCGCTGGAGCAAGATGGACCAGCTGGCCGAGGAGCTGGCAGCTGAGAAGCGGCTGGAGCGGGAGGACGAGGAGGATGACCCCGACCGCTCCATGAAACTCTCCTTCCAGGCCCAGGCCTACGGCCTCCGGGGCCCCGGGCCACAGCTTCGCCGAGGCTGGAGGCTGTCTTCCCGGGAGGACAGCGTCGAGGCCAGCCTGCCCCTCCAGGCCCGTGGCTTCCCTGAGGAAAAGAAGGAGGAGGAGGGCAGCGCCAACCGCAGAGCAGAGGTTGGTATTGGCGGGAGCCGGCCCTGGGCCAGGCTCCGGAAGTGCGGGTCCACCCAGACAGGTGGCCCTGGCCCCGCTGCGGGGACATGGTCTCCTTGCGCCTAGACCTAGAGAGGAGCTCAGGCAGGGGCTTCTAAGTGGATAGGCGGACAGGCAAGTGGGGACTTGGTCCTGAAGGCCATCGGGAGCCTGTGCAGCTTGTGAGCAGGTCATGGGGGTGACGGGCAGAGCTTGGAAAAAGAAGGGGCTGGCAGGACTATCTTGGGAGCTGTGGAGGAAAGTGGGAAAGGACACTAAGGGACCAGTTGTACAGTTGGTGTAGGCGTGTCGTCCTGGACCCCAGGCTTCCTGGGTGCACTGTCCTCTCAGGCTGAGGGGGACAGGGCCAGATGTTCCCTGGAGTGTGGAGAACGGGTAGGGAGGGACATGTGTCAGCAGACCTGGGTTCATCCTCATCCCAGCTGTGTGACCTTGGGCAGGTCACTGCCCTCCCCTGAGCCTCACCGGTTCACCCATTCAGGAAATGGGAGTAAGGAGTCCTTTCTGCTCACCTCATTGTCATGACAACACACATAAGCCTGAAGACCTGGCCTGCCCAGCGCCACTTGGGTAGCTGACTGGGGTGGCACAGGGACACAGGGCGTAGCCCCCGGGAGAGGTGGGTTCCAGGCTTCTGGCAGCTGGAGGTGTTCCTGGTGGCACCTGGCTCAAGCTGTGGGGCCAGGTGGAAGCTGGGTTTCTAGGCCACACCTGTCCACAGCCCTGACTGTAAGGCTCTTCTTTGCCCACCCAGAAGAGGAGGTGGCCCCTTCTCTGGGCCTGGGAAGAGGGTCTTGTTGGCAGCCTGAGAGGAAGAAGGCCCCTTCTTGCCTGCTGGAGCAGAGAGGGCATGTGCCCTTGTCCCCTGAGCCTGGGGGACAGGCTTCAGGGATAGCAGCTGTGAACCCAGCACAGGTCGAGCAGCCTCAAGCACCTTGTCCTTCCCAACACTGACGCTGGGGAGAACTTCCCGAGCAGGGGGGGCCCAGGGTGGAGAAACAGGGACCCCAGACTCTTATGGACAAGGTGGGGCAGGTGCCTCCTCCTCCCAGTACCAGGGTCTTAGAGACCCCAGTACCACAGAACTCACAAGGGCTGCTCTAAAAACAAGGGTCCCTATTTCCAAGGCAGCCATTGTCAGTGCCCCATTGGCAGCTCCACATCAGCGGGGACCCCAGGAAGACGACCCAAGACTGAGGGGACTGGGTCACAGAACAGGGCTCAGAGAGGGACGCCTCCTTCCCTAAACACACTGGCAGCCAAATGTGGTGTCCCCAAACATCAGGGCCAAGGACGAAGGAAGGCCCAGCTGTAGGCAGGTGGGCATGGGCTGTCATAGCACCCACCCTGTTGCACAGAACCAAACCCAGGCCAGGTCGATTGTGGGAGCTATCGCTTCCTGTCCCGGTGTGTATGTGTGTGTGTTGGTGGTGCTTTCTAAAGGGACAGAAGTTGTGTCTCACATGCCCTGAACCATTAGGAGGAAGTGGGGCTGAGAAGAGGCCACCAGGGCAGCTCCCTCTGCCTTCTTGGGCAGCACAATCAGAGCAGCCCAGCAGGGTGGTCACTGTCCCCATGAAAGAGATGAGGTTCACAGAGGTAAAGCCACCTGTCTAAGGCCACACAGTTGACCAGGAGCCCTGCCAGTCTGGCCAACTGTCCCTCGCTGCTGCTGGCACCAGTCAGCCCTGGAGTGACCCTCAACAACACTCTGTCCTAGGACCAGGAGCTGGAGAGCCTGTCGGCCATCGAGGCAGAGCTGGAGAAAGTGGCCCACCGGCTGCAGGCGCTGCGGAGGGGCTGAGGCACCAGTGGGGGCAGCCAGCCAGGGCCCCAAGTCACCCCTTGGTCCTGCCTCTGTTGTCCCCTCTACAGGTCCTGGTGAGATGGGCTGGACGCTGCTTCTGGTAGGCTAGTGTCCTCCAGCCCACCCAAGCCCAGGCCACCCTGTCACCCCCACACTCTTCTCCTCTGCTCTCACCCTTCCCTGAGCACCCACCTCGGGGTGCCCCGTAATCGTCAACACAGATTATTCCTCTGTGAGCACGGCAGCTTTCTAGAAGTTCCCCCTCCACCTTTGCACCCACTGGGCACAACTGCGGTAACTTCTGACTTTTTGGTGAAAGCTGAGAACTCCTGACTATCATATATTCTGTAAAAAGTTTATCTAAGGAAAAATAAATCTGCTCTGGGCTCTTTCCTTTTTGGATTTTTTTTCCCATCAACTCTGGGTTGGGGATACACTGATTTGGGAAAAGGGGCTGAGGGGTTCAGTCTATCTGAGATGACTCCTTTGTGGGCTGTTTCCTGGCTGTGGGATTATGGGTAAATGGCTTTGCCCCTGTGAGCCCGTTTCTGCATGTGTAGAATGGGGGTGCTGACCTGCTCACAAGGATGTGTGTATGGGGTAGGTGACACATGAGGTAGGTTGGGATGTGTCACCTGTTCTGAGACTGCCCTTCCCTAATGGACTTCCTTATGTGTCCCCTGACCTGAATGAGTCCATACTGCAGGACCACTGGTCACATGCACAGGACTGTGGGGAGTCTGAAGGTTTTGTGCACATTCACTAGAACACAGCAGGCCTCAGGTTAGAGAAGGAAGAAACTGAGGCAGAAAAAGTGAAAGAGTTCATCAAAGTCATAGGCAAGAAGCCAGGTGTGGTGGTGGATGCCTTAATCCCACCAATGGGGAGGCTGAGGCAGGAGGATCACTGTGAGTTCAAGACCAACCTGGGCTACATAGTGAGTTCCAGGTCAGTCTCAACTACATCATGAGACTCTGTCTCAAAAAACCAAAAAAAAAAA